GCTAAACACTGAGACAAGAAATAAATACACTTACAAGCTGCTTTTAACTTCTGCTGATTGACTGCTTCTCACAAAGACTATTTCTTTACACTGTTTTGTTTTACACAAATTAAGGCAGATTAATTGCCCTGGCAGATATTATGAATACTGAACTCAAATGATATGTGATAAAATATGTGATAGGAAAAAAAGAGCGCCAAGAGTCGCACAGCTGGGGCGGCGACAGAATACTGCAAATAAAGTTGTACGAAAAGTTGAAATTAAACACACTTATTTTACATATTTAGAAAAAAAAAATGTATGGCTGACATACTTTTAAAGTGACCTACAGTAGTCTAAATTGGGAAGCGGTGATAATTTCAGCTATAGCCAGTAATCTCAATATGACCAAATTAAGGCAGATTAATTGCCCTGGCAGATATTATGAATACTGAATAAAATGACAGTGAAGGTGAAGCACAGAGACAGCAAAGCCTGACAGCACACACAACACAGACACCAGCAGACGCGGTCATTTCTGACTTCATGGTGACTTTCAGGCCTGTTATTACTGTATGGAGTGACAGCTCGGTCACGTGACGCTCCTCAGTTTACCTCACTCATCTACAGTGTGCATTTAAAGCTTGATGAACACACCGTATAGCACAGCAAAAGCGGGTGTGACCGTCATTAATGTGCTGTAAACTCTCTCTCTTTCTCTCTCTCGGTTCTGCTGCGAGTGTCCTGCTGCCCTTGGGCCCGCGGCCTACCGCTCACGCGCGTCATCACGCCGCCGGTTAACGGTCTTTCGGTCAGTCCGAGCGGCGCAGACGGCTCACACACACACGTACCTGTCGCAGGGCGGAGATCGAGCGCTCGAGGCTCCGGGTGAGACAGCGGGAACGGGACAACATGTCGTCGGGATGGACCGAGCTCACTGCAGCTCTCACGGCACAGCACCGGAAACAGCGCCGCCGCGAACCGGAAACAGCGCGGAGCATACCATGATGAATCAGAGAGGGGGGAGTGGAAAGTACCATTGATTTCCCACTCGTCTTACTTCTTTAGGCGTATGCATTTAGCAGACGCTTTTATCCAAAACAATCCAAAAGTGGAAAAATAGCCATTCTTCAAGGTTCCAACAATATTTGTGATATGCAATGTCAGATTTAATCAGTTGTTAATTACATATTGTCACACATATTGTTGGATCCTTGAAGAATGGCTTTTTTCCCCCCACTTAGGGCTTAATGCAGAGTTACCGTAATGCCTAATTCATTTTTTTTACACATCACCAGTTTCCGAGGCTCATTATTGTGTACGGAAAGTCCAGCATCTGCAGCCTGCGAAAACCATGAACCTGAGCCCGCCTGAACACAGCATGCACAAGCCGAGCGACGGCTGCGTGGACGGCAGCAAAGCCGAGCACTTGCTCCCCTGCTACCGCAGAAGCAGATACGACGAGCCTCTGGCGTCCTACCACAGCGGCTCCATCATATCTCACCTCCTGCGGAAAACCATTCACAATAAACTGACCTCGCTGGACAACAGCCTCCTTTACCTGCCCTCCTCAAACGCCAGCGGGCTCGATCCCGAGTCCAACAGCATCGATGATTTTGCTCGAGATGACCAGAGCTGCCTGTCCTTCAAAGACGAGGATCTGTCTGTGAGCGAGCACCTCCAAGCCAAACGCGCCCGGGTGGAGAACATCATACGAGGCATGGCTGCTTCGCCCAACGCCGACGGAGAAGCGGAGAGCGAGTGCGAAGCCGTCCGCTGTAGAAGAGACCTCCTGAAGGAGAACAAACGCAAGCAGAGGCTCCCCCAGCACCAGGAGCCCACTCAGTCCAACGCAAAGACCAGCAAAGACGAAGAGTGCCACAAACTCAAGGAGCAGCTCCAAAGCATGCAGCGTCTCCTGCATCAGCTCCAGGAGAAGATCTCGCACGTGCACGACCAGAATTACTCGGAGAGCGAGGAACGGGAAGATGCGAGGTCAGAGCTCTCGAGTCTGAGGCTGGATGGTGGATACAAAGACCGAGTCAAAGTGGAACCCGGTGGTTTCGGCTCCGACAGGGCGATGAAGAACCTCAAAGAGACTCTCAAGTGCGAGCTGACCAGGACTGTGAGCGAAAGCGTCGATATGGTCTTCAAGAAACTCTCCATGACCTTACTAAATCAGTCGCCGCACAGTCCGGAGTACTCGGAGAACGAGAAGCGAATCCCAGATGATTCCCCTTCGGAGCTGTCAGACGATGAAATCGTCAAAGCCAGGTCTGCGGAGCACTTTGAGAGCCACGGCCCGGAGCACCAGACCGAAGCCTTGTCCCTAGTGGTCCGTAAACCTTCCCTGAGCCAGGCTGTGAAGAGACCTTTCCCGCTCCACCAGACGCCTTTCCAGTTCGGCTACAACGCTCCTCTGCACGACAGCCAGATCCTGGAGCACCTGCTGAAGTACGGCCCTCACTCCACCTTCTCCGCAATGCCTTGCCTGCCGGCGTCTCTGGAGCGGTCCTCGCCGGACTCCATGGAGCATCCGTGGGAAAGCGTGGCCATGAGATCCAAGCTGAGCTCGGGGCATCTGGGTCAGCACCATCGCGTCGGACCTCCTGGACTGGTGTCGGTGGACGCGCTCTGCCTTCCTCACGTCAAGATGGAGTGTGGAGATCTGCAGAGCATGGCTGAGAGGAGCTCCTTCATGTCGCTCAATATATCCTTTGAACGCTTGAAGGGATGTTTCATCCAAAAATGATCATTCTGTCGTCATGTGGTTCCAAACCTGTATGACTTTTTTTTAGTTTAGGGACCAATTTTTACTTTTAACTAGCATGCATATGACTAACAAATTGGCTATTTATTAGTACTTATAAAGCACATATGTGACTCTGGAGCACAAAACCAATGTATTTTTGGTTATTATTTGATATGGGTCAAAATGATCGATTTTTCTTTTATGCCAAAAATCATTAGGATATTAAGTAAAGATCATGTTCCATGAAGATATTTTGTAAATTTCCTACCGTAAATATATCAAAACTTAATTTTTGATTAGTAATATGCATTGCTAAGAACTTCATTTGGACAACTTTAAAGGCGATTTTCTCAATATTTAGATTGTTTTGCACCCTCAGATTCCAGATTTTCAAATAGTTGTATCTCGACCAAATATTATCCTATCATAACAAACCATACATCAATGGAAAGATTATTTATTCAGCTTTCAGATGATAAATAAATCTCAATTTCTAAAAATTGACCCTTATGACTGGTTTTGTGCTCCAGAGTCACATATTAATGCCTTATTCTGCATGTGCATATTTCAGATCCATTAATCTCTACCCCATACCTAAACTTAACAACTACCTTACTGACTATTAATAAGCAGCAAATTAGGAGTTTATTAAGGCAAAATTTATAGTTAATAGTGAGAATTGGTCACTGAACTAAAGTGTGACCTTTTTTTCCTTCTGAGGAACATAGAACATGTTATTATGAGAAATGTCTCAGTATTTTTTGGTCTATACAGTGGAAGTGATATCTTAGAATATTGTAGTAATATCGTAAGAAATATCTTCTTTTTGGTGTCGCTCGGAAGAAAGAACGTAAGTCATATATTAGGGTGAACTGTCCCTTTAATACCAATAAATGTCAAAAATGATTGAGAAAAATTATATCTCTGTCACATGATTTGAAAGTACAAGAGGAAAATTGTATTGCTCAGAAGTTGCTCTTCTATATCTCATAAGAGTTCTTAGTTTTTTGTAGTGTTTTTTCTCAGATATTAATTCTGAAATTCATTAGTAAAAATAAAAAATGGTAACACTACAGGTTAGTTAATGCATTAACTAACATAAACTAACAATGAACAACATATTGTTTAAAGCATTTATAAATGATAAAATAGTGAATACATGACACATTTAATGTTTGTTTGTTCATAGCGCATTAACTAATGTTAAAAAACATACAACGTCTCATTTGAAAACATATTAGTAAATGTTAAAAATGAACATGATTAATAAATGTTGTAGAAGTATTGTTCATTGATAGTTCATGTTAACTCATTTAGTTCACTAATGTTAAGTGTTTCTATAAAAATAGTCAAAAATGACTCAGAGTTGTCATACAGTGTGAGCATGAGAAGTGTTTGAGAAATGTTTCATATTTCAGTCTTTAATAACCTGGCAAGCCGTTTGAAACACTGTCGAGATCCCTTTTCATCAGAAACACAAGGAGAAACTTCTCAAATCAGGAGAAAAGAGAAAACCCAGACTGAGATTTTTCAGGAGTCACAGGAAGGCTCTTTTATCTATGGATTATGTTCTTTGTTTAGCTTCAGCTGCTTTTGAAAAATCCCCCTCTTTGTTTAGTTGACTGTTTTTATTTAATATATAGTAGTTAACATTGAGATATTGCTGAACAAACCACCAGCTCTCGAGCTCGGCGAACAATCGTTGAGTTGAGTGCAGCGGTGAGCAGTTCCACTCACGCAGACTTCAAGGAGAATTTTTGCTTTGATCTCGGTAACCCCAAAGAAAATTGTAGCATCTTCTTTAATCTGGGCTCGGTAATGACTTTAAGTCCAGGAAAAGACAAATAAAAAGGAATACAAGGCTTTGATAAGAATTGTTAGGAACAAAAGCCAATTTTCAAAGGCAGAAAAAGCAACAGTTTCTCTTCTGGAAATTCTCTGATATTTTTTCCCCCCCCGCTCAGACTTGAAAAGGTGCGGAATATGTTTCTGCACTCTCGATGTGATTGGGATGAGAGAGGTCACTTTTGGTTGTTTGTGAACAGCAAGCTCTCAGCCGTCATTATACACCATCATCAATGCTCAGAGTGTCATATACATATGTGACGAAAATATCGCAGCATGCAGAAAGCTTGGCTTTTAAACATCATTAGATTTATATAATATGTGACCCTGGAGCACAAGCCCAGTCTTAAGTGTCAATTTTTCAAAATTGAGATTTATACACCATCTGAATAAATAATCTTTCCACTGATGTATGGTTTGTTAGGAGAGGACAATATTTGGCCGAGATACAACTATTTGAAAATCTGGAATCTGAGGGTGCAAAAAAATCTAAATATTGAGAAAATCATCTTTAAAGTTGTTCAAATGAAGTTCTTAGCAATGCATATTACTAATCAAAAATTAAGTTCTGATATATTTACGGTAGGAGATTTACAAAATATCTTCAAGGAACATGATCTTTACTTAATATCCTAATGATTTTTGGTATAAAAGAAAAATGTATAATTTTGACCCATACAATGTATTGTTGGCTATTGCTACAAATATACCCCAGCGACTTAACACTGCTTTTGTGCTGCAGGGTCACACATGCTTTGGAAATGATTTCAATATTGTGGCTCTTTTTATTTTTTATTAATAGCAGCTTTACGTTTCTGCTTCTTTAAGAAGCAACACGTTTCTTTTGCATAGATGCAATCAATGCAGAGAAGTGACCTCATAAGCTCTGGCTCCTTTTTAAAGAAAGAAACTCATTTTTAAAGTTCTGTTCAAATGTAAAGGGCGTAAGCTGATCCTCTCCATCCTCGCTGAGGAAATTTCATCTCAGTGTTTTGCAGCGAAGCAATTACTGCGAGCAGATATGGAGCAAATGGCTCAGATTGGAGGTCTCTAATTGAAGTCCTTAATCTAATTTGTTGGGCTCTTTTTCTAGTTAGCACATGCTGTCGTGTCTTAATCGACTCTCTGGTCAATACAGAGCTGTTCAGCTGTTCATTCATTTGGATGATGGATTGGACATACTGGTGCTTATTTGTTTGGGGACGTGCTAATGCTGTTTGATTATTAAAAATACACATGAATTGAGCTCTGTAAATTAATCTGTACATGAAGGGTAAGGCGGCTTTGATCACTGACTGTCATGTGTTTATGGTGAGGTTTTTGAGGCCTTAACTCTCCTCACATTCAGGAAGGTCTGACCCCAAACCATCTGAAGAAAGCCAAGCTGATGTTCTTCTACACACGCTACCCCAGCTCGAATCTGCTCAAGAACTTTTTCCCTGATGTCAAGGTATGTCTTGTTTGACCAGATTATGGTTCAGTAACACCTCTGTTAATGTTAATTATTGTGTTTCAGACACATTTATTTTATATACTTTTACAACTCATGTATCTTCATTAATTGGCATCTAATTTTGTGTTAATATTTTGAATCCAAGTGATTTTAGATGATTTTTAATGTGTAACTGTTTAATAGGATAAATATTATAATTGTATTATTTATTTAAATATTTATTATGCTTAATATTAATAATTTTTAAAATATATTATTTTATTATTTTATTTTTTTTTTATTTCTAATAAACAGTTACAATCAGGAGTCAAATCAATGTCTACCTGATTATTTGGATAAATAATATTTGTAAATAATAATAATAAATAATTAAATATGATTAATGTTATTTAAGAATAATAAATAATATTATAATATTTACCCTATTGATAAGTTACGCGTTAATAAGAGTATTGCTTTGGAAATCACTTTGAATTGTAATGGATTTGTTACGTGTGAATTAGAAATATGCATTCTGTTGCTTTGGCAAAAAAACTAAATAGAATATTAACACAAAATTAGACGCTTGAGCAAATATTCCTGAATGTTGGGGTGGCAATTCCTGAATTGCTGGTTTAACTTTGACAAAGTTAAAAGAGGAGTTTCTCAAGTCAGCAAAAGGAGACAAAAGAGGCGGCGGAGAGGAGCACAACCTCCTCTATTCAGCGTTAACCCTTCAGCTCGCCAGCTTTCAGCACACACAATAGCAGAGCGCTGAGCCGCGGATACTGAGGCCCTACAACAACACACGCATCCTGTGAGTGTGTAACCAGTCCTGAGGCACAAGTGTTGTGATGAGTCGACACAACAGCAAAACTCTGGTGCAACTGTGTTAGTTCATGACTCTCCTGTTGAATAGGTAGAGTATGTCTAAGGCCCAGTGTAAGGAAACTGTTCCACTTGTGCTTGGAAAAAAAAAATTTACTTTCAAGTACTACTGCCGTAACCAGCTTAGGCATTGCATCTCTCCAGTATTAGATGATCAACATGTTATTAAATGGCAGATAAATAAATAAATAAATTTATGCATTTAGCAGGCGCTTTTATCCAAAGCGACTTACATTGCATTCAGGCTATACATTTTTTATCAGATTCATGAACTATTATCCAAACATCCTAAATATGCACTTGCTAAGTACCATTAGTTTTTTTATAATTACTAACCCTAAGCCAAAGCCTTAAGCGCCATGCACATTATATATTATATAACATTATGCTATATATTGCTATATAAGGTTTCTGTGTGCTTTGTAATAAATTGCACATAATTGAAGAAACAAAATCTATTTGTTAAATTTTCATTGTTGAAAGTGTTCATTGAGTTAGCCAGCAAATATCACAAAACCACATCATACTGATATTTTGGTGTGAGGAAAATCATTGTGTGGTTGTGAGTGAATTACTGAGCTTGATAAAACCGTGAAATACTAATGAAGCCTGTAAGAGAAACTAACTTCAGTTTGAATCGTGTGGTCAGAAAGATCTGATGATGTTAAATATATATTTCCTTAAATGTAATGTCAGCTAGATCAAGCTATTATTTTTATAGGTGTAAGTGTCACTTGATAATGAATAGGGGTTGAATGCTCAAAAAACAGAAATTGTTTTAAATTGCACAAAGAATTACAAAGAAACAGCAAGTAACACATTAAATTAAACGTGAAATTTTGAAGTAGAAAGACTGGAATAGTATTCTCTTGTAAGACAAATTAGTACTCCAATAATCTTTGTTTTATTTACAACTTTGAAAACGTCTCAGGTTACTTATGTAACCATGGTTCCCGGAGTAGGGAACGAGACACTGCGTCCTCAAGGCCCCCCCTAGAGGACGCAGTTCGAAGTTCCCTTGAAAGGGAACGTCTCAGGTTACTTATGTAACCATGGTTCCCTGAGTAGGGAACAAGACACTGCGTACTCTAGGCCCCCCCTAGAGGACGCCGTTCGAAGTTCCCTTGAAAGGGAACGTTTCAGGTTACTTATGTAACCATGGTTCCCTGAGTAGGGAACGAGACACTGCGTCCTCTAGGGGGGGCCTAGAGGACGCAGTTCGAAGTTCCCTTGAAAGGGAAATGTTTGTTTTAGTGTAGATAAAGCACAGTTTATTTAAGAATGAGGGCAGCACATTATACATTTATTAAGGCTCATTTAAAGATTTGGAAATTCTCTAGAGTACTTTTTGCCCCAGCAACAATGGACGCTTTACAATAGTGGTACAATAATACATAAGCAATGAACAGTCATGGGCAAACACAAAAACATGATGACATTGCTCACACAAAATGCAGGTCCTAGCATTAGAAATGAGCTTGTCTGATAATATTGCTCAGTAAGTTTTTGAAGGCGGTGTTTAATGAAAGCTTGGTTATATCAGTAGTTTTCAGAAATGCTGTGTTGTCTGTTTTAATTTTTCTGGACTTGTTAGTTAATAATTTTATTTTTTTGGTGGTTATTATTGGTAATTAATCTTTTAAAATGTAATCAAATGTAATCAAATCAAAATCTTTTTTTACTTTTTTAGCAAACAAAGTTCTGCAAGTGTTTAATGTTAAAATTAAGCATGGACTCATTTTGCTTAAAAAATGATATTCCTTAAAAAATTAATTATTTATTATTATTATTATTTATTACACTGAATAAAATTGGTGTAGAAAAAAATGTTCACTCCAAAATTGCTAGAAAATTTCACAAGCAATTACAATACAACGAAATGGCAAGTAACACATTAAACATAAATTAAACACAAATTTTTGAAGCATAAAGACTGAAATAGTATTTTCTTGTAAAACAAACTTCAGTAATATTTGTTTTATTTACAACTGTGAAAAATCAAGGTGTACTTTGAGAAGTACATTCTACTGTAACATAGTAATAGCTGTCATAATTTCAAGTTAAACTGAACTTTTATTTTGGCGGGTTGTCTTGAAGAGCTTTGAGTTTCTGTGTGTATCTGATGATAGTTTTCTCAAATGAGATGGTGAAATACTGGTGATGATGAAGTTCATGGGTTCATGTCCTCATGTAGTGAGTGAGGTGCAGACGAGCGTCACATGTGCTTTAGTATGTGTAGCAGAGCAAACTGAGACATGCAGACTTCACATTTACACAGCAGTGTAATATTCAGTAGTCCATATCGCCATCTGATTAAGTGCACAGCCCTACTTTTGATTTATTCATCCATTCATCCAACGACTTTCCACGTTATACTGTAACTTTTATTTTTATCACTGAATTCTGTGATCCCATCTGTGTTTTCTGCATCGTGGAAACCATATTGTCCCTAGTGCACATCAGTGTGGCACAAAAGTATAGTAGGATACAAATCCATGACATTTAAGGAAGCAAATAATACACACATTCACAAATAAGGCAGAGATGTCTCCCGGCAAATCGAGATCACTAGAAAAGACACATGAGGAGGTATCTGGACACTGGGCACTGGGCAAAGGCTGGGATAATCCCAGTGTCTGATTCCATTCCCGTCAGACGAAGTCACTCAGAAGGACGTCTCGCGCTCTGCTGTTTCTCACACTCTGTGTCAAGAAGCGTCTTTGAGCCCTTGGGCAGGTTTTAGCTCTTTTTGCCCCTGTGTTATCGGATGAGCAGTTATAATAACAGGGCTAATGTGAAGACTGCTGTTTGGATAGATGTTATTCTAAGTGCAAGACATCGGCTGGGAAAGACTACAGCTGATTAAACAGACTGTGTTGCTGAGAACAGTTTAGAAAGCAAATGCTTTCCACCATCATTGCCACAATAACAACAATAAAAATCTAATTTTTACATTTTCTGAAAGAAACGAATAGCATCACGATTCTAGGTTGTTGTTGGTGGTTGCCAGGGTGTTGCTAAGGTGTTCTGGGTGGTTGCTAGGTGTTTCAGTGTCATGCAAACAGAGTCTCTGTGATCTTCAGGTCTCGACATGTGTGCCTGTGGGATTTTTTCACCTGATTTATTATAAATCCAGAAATGTCAGAGCTAGAGCTGCAGCATTGACACAGATTTCACAAATCAATTTGATTGCGATTCACAAGCTCTTGATTCAGTTAGATTCCGGTCTCAATTCAAATGGATTGGGAATCGAAAATCGATTCCAATTCCAGAATCGGATACTTAAAGGAACACTCCACTATTTTTGAAAATAGGCTCATTTTCCAACTTCCCCTAGAGTTAAACAGTTTAGTTTTACCGTTTTTGAATCCATTCAGCCGATCTCCGGGTCTGGCGGTAGCACTTTTAGCTGTAGCTTAGCATAGATCAAAAATGACCAAAGAGTTGTGCAAGAGTGCAGCAGGCGCAATGATATTACGCAGC